GCCATATTTAGAGCTTCATTATACTCTCTCGTATGTGACAGAGGTAGGGAGGTTCTTGTATCATCCACAATTATATCAGAATATTTCGATAGCTTTAAATGTTTGGCAATGTCAAGCATTTGATGAAATATTCGAGCATAAAAGTCAATCCTACTTGGCATATTTTTACCACTTAAAGGTATTTATCCAGACCTGTGGTCTCATATTCGTCTAACGAGTTTTCAAAGGTAATTCAGATTTGACAACGGGTAGATTGGAACCATTAGACATGATCTTTATAATCTGTTATCAACACAGAAAGAGTGAAATCAGATAGATATTCAGCCATTGAGAAATGATTTGCTTCTGTAACATATTCGATCGCGAGTTCAAACTCGAAAAATCCATGGAAAGCTCAACCAAGTCTAAAAAGAGTATGAATACTAAACGACCTATGAGTATTTAATCTGCTGAAATAAGCTTTTGATTTGCTTGGTGCACCCCTATCTGTGTACTAGTTAGCCGAAGAGAACTAAGATGTCGTTGCGCTTTTTATTTCACTCGACTGAAATACATTATAGTCTTGAACATTGATGCTGGGCTTGTTAGATGCCACTATGCTGAATATTCATACTTTGTGACAAACATTAGCATCGTCTATATACGTCATTCAATTGATCTTGAATATTGTTTCTAGATCGAATAAGACATTGTCATCATCTTAAGTTAGACTGTAGAACGACACAACATCTACCAATATGAAATCTTGATCACTGTTTAAGTTGACATCAATGACAACGTTAAACAATTCTAGATTTTTTAAGAAAGTACTGCTGCTATCTACTTGAATAAAAATGTCAGACTTGTAGGAAAAACAGAGTTTATTGAAAACAGATGTCTGTCACTATCTGTCAAACGTTGCCATTTAGTGTCAGTCAATTTGACAATAATGGTAAAATTGAAGCTTAGTATCAGTCAAGGGAGAGAAGTATTTGTGTAACCATATTGTAGTTTTCTATTTAACTAGCACAACAATTAATAAGCTAGAAACGATAATTGTGAAGCGTTTCCACATCATCCATAAGCAATATTTTATTAATCATCTTGGAAATGAAGCCATTCTTTGTATACTCGTTGATAGGTTGCACAGCTGTATACGTCATTCGAACTCATCAATATTATTCATTTCATGCTTGTTGCATTGATAATAAGTGCGACAGCTGTAGAACATTTCTTGTTTACTCGAACAACATATTGCATTGACGTTTTCAGTAGCGTCTAATATGACAAGCATTCTTTGAATAACTATTTTGATGAAAGGATATTGTACGAATAAGCCGTTCTTGCGATCAGTGTTATATATAGTGTTTGTTTTTTGTGTAATCCTAGCATGCGAAAAACAGCCGATTGTTTTTGAAGACTCTTACTGCTTTGATAATGTTTTGTTTCAAACTCTATTGTTTGACGAAGATGGTTCCATTCTTAACATATTTAAGTGTATATATATATAATCAGCTTCCTTGAATATACACGTACTCGAGATAATCAAAATTCTAGTTTTATTTTATGCGCCTCAATAAGAGCAATAAAGGTCGTTTCAATTTGAACTTTCTAGCTGTATAATAATGCTGTATTGTCTGAGCATTATTAAGTCGGCTGACTGCACGAAGTGCAGGAGCCGACTTATTGCTTTTCACTAGCTTAGTTGCCATGGCAAATTCTTCTTCTTCTTCTTCTTCATCCGCTCGACGCATGAGTCATGATTCGAGTCAGCCACTCGTTCTCAGTACCTAAACATCATTTTCAGTCGAAAAAAAGCTTGGCGAAATCGTGAGAACGTGACGAGTGCACATCTGAAATCCATTTTTCAAAATTCGGCACCATTCGGGAGATATAAGATATGAGGAAAACAATAATTAACAGCTGATAGTTTCCTTTTATGGCAGTGCATGATTCAATCTTAGATGACCATTCATATATAAGATGTCAAATGCATATATATTTTAATTATCGTCTTACATGGCTTAAATTCGTCCATGAAAGAGTCTCAAACGTTTAGAAAAATCTCTTCATGGTTTAAACAGATGAAATACGAAGAACAATAATGAACAACTGAGAGCTTCCTTATATGGAACTTTATGACTCAGATTCATTATGATTTCGTCTACACGTGTCTTGGGTTTAGAAATAGTAGATGTCGTATAGGATCAGATTTCGATGGTTTTTTGGGCTCGTGTAGTCAGCCGACTTCTCTACCCGGCCTTGGGTCGGGTGGAATTCTAGTTAACATTTGCTATTGTTATGATGTTTTTATTTAATGTAATAGATTGAATGCAAAAAAGCTCATTATCGAGCAGATTCAAAATTAATAGAAGCAAGTATGAAGCATTTTTGTTTTATAAAGGAGAAATATCAGCGATTGCCTTTGTTTTCAAAAAAAAATCACCTACGATGAATCAGTCAACGACTATATTAGTTAAAATGACGAAACAAATTTCTTCGAGTACTTTAAAACGATTTGAATCACGATCAAGATAAAATGATGTAAACCCGAGCACACTAGAAGACCTGAGACTTCTTTTGTCTCATTTGTTTCTATAATTTTTAATTAAAAAGGATTTTCAGAAACCAAAGCGATTTTGAGAATATGGGAATAGATTTTCAAGGTTTTAAATGTTCCAAAATAACCTTGATTGGAGTCTTTACAAACGTTCGGCTAAAATTGCTTTAAAAAAGTCATATTTTGTTGTAAGTATACCCATTATTGTTCCAATTTTTGTAAGAAATAAATTAGTCCCGTAGGATCTTCTATTGTGAGGTAGTTTAGTACAGAAAATGCTCCCAATATTTTCATTGGTTTCTGATTATTGGTCTCTTGCTTGTCTTTTTTTCAAATTCATTTCCTGAAAATTTCTGTAGAATTATTATTCAAATCAAAAGAGGAATTTTATTGTAGAACTCATGATTTTTTTATCCAAAAGTTAACAAAAATCTCGATCTTGGTCATTCCACGGAATCTCTAACAGGATAAGTTGTGTCAATCATCAGAGATCTCGTAAACATGCACAATAAAACATTGCACTGATTCGGCTATATATATTCGTAGGTAATAGATTTTAAACCTATCCCTGTGAGTTGAAACGACTGAATTTCCAACTTACCTGAGAAAAAAGATCAAGTAAAAAGTATATGATTTCTATTAAAAAAAACTGTTTTCAAGACTTTTTATTTATTATAACTTATAGATAGTTTTCTGAGATGATTTCTGATTCTTTCGTGGTCTACGTAGTATGAAAAATAGAGTCTTCTTTTAAAACAATATATCTCAATTTTTTTTTCTAAGATTTTGTTCAGTGAAATTGAAAAAAACTTATTAATTGTCATCATTCAGCCCATAGCAAATATAAAAACATCATAATTGATATTCTTTTCATATTTAAGAATATGTTATCTCGATCCTATGTTGTGGGAGTAGCAGTGAGAAAAGCGCAATTTTACTATCACACAGTATAGTCAATTAGATATAAGATCTGACTGAAAAATCGATAAAACATGGTCAGTTTAGTTGTAGTTACAATTCTCAGCTCGATCGAATCATTCTTTATACAATCCAGATATTGGAAGGTTTAATATTACTTTCTTATTAAATATTAGATACTTTATTTTAGATTACAGAAGAGTTGAATTGCAGATGAAACATGATATCAAAATCTCGATTCAGATTCTGCTGTATATTGTTTATTATTATAGGTGAAATTTTACAGATTAAAGTCAATCATGAGCGTGCAAAAACTCGAATACGTAAAATCATGTGTCACTCAATTGTAAAAGACCAGTATTTTCATTATGAGAACAAAAGCACTGTTGTACATCAAATAAAATTTCTAATGACAACAATGTTTTTTCTCTATTTAACATATGTTCCGCTTATATAATCGATGATATGTAACTTACATTTTTACTCGAGATATTGATAGGCCATAGTATAGACCATTTACTATCCAGACATCCTTCCATTTTGTTGATAAATAGGAGAATATCCTGATCCATCTCTTCATAATAGGAATAATTCTGGGATAATATTCATTTTTACTGATGTACTTCTGTAGAACCTTTTCGGGTATGGTTCAAGGTTACAATAACAAGGGTAAATAAAACTTTCCAAGAGGATGGATTTAAAAGTCATTGCCTTTTGACTTGTAGTCTTTCTGGCAATGTTACCACACAATGAAATAAGGTATCAAAATACCTATTCATAAGTGGTAGATAATTCCAACCAGAAAACTGGCTGTATATTATCACTTTATTCTCTGGATCATAATTTAGAGAATTCCATTTTAGTCTAGACCATTAATTGATAGACCAATAGACTTTTTTTCAATAGATAGATGATCCATAATTCAATCTCTGGTATTCGTATCCATACCAAAAATTGTCTCATAACGATCCATTTCTATTGTTCACAGTAAATGTTCCAATCCAGTTATCCATATATCGAATTTCATTCAGGTAATTATTGCCATAGATCGGTATGACACTTGTATACAAAGAAATAGACATTATTCTAGTTAAAAATCACTCATCATGTTAATCCTGTATTCTTTTTTGTTGAAACCAGTATTTCACTAATCGCACGAAGAGTAAATAACAAAAGTAGGAAGAAAAAGAACAATAACAAAAAAAAAGGAGAAAAAAAAATAACAAACAGATCAGAAACAATATTGATGAGCTTTTTTTGTTTGTCTCAGTATGCATGTACAAATGTAGAGAAACGAAATCGACGAAGAACAAGAATAAGAATCACACTTGCGTAATAATGTTTCCTTCAAGTTTTTGAGAGAGAGAGAGAGAGAGAGAGAAAAGAAAAAGACATCCTACATTATGAAATATACACAAGAAAAAAATGCTAAGAATAACTTGATTTGTCTTCCATAACGTTTTATATCTACTCCGCAGACACTGACTATCCACAAAGAGAAAGAAAAACAAATCAAGGAAAAAGAAAAATTAAAGACAAACACTTAATCTTTTTGTATATCAAACATTGCATCATATTGATTCAATTTAATGCAAAAATCTTCAATATCATATTTTCTGACCCATGCTGCTTTTGATTTCTTTTTTGTTCGACTTGAAGGTAATCTTCGTTTTCTAGTATCTATTGCTGAAGTTAATTGTTTAGCTTGTTTTTTATCAGTTGATTGATCATCATCTATTGTTTTATCATTTTCCAATTGATACGTTTGATCCTTAGATATTTCAGACAATCGTTCATCATTTTCTTTTTCTGCAAATCGTACACGTTTATTAATTCGTTCTGAAATCGGTGTATCTTCTTCATCTAATAATTCATCCAACGATCGTTTTCCACCTTTATTTGTTTCGACAGAAGGTTCTAGTGATGGTTGTTTATCATTATTTGTTTCGACAGAAGGTTCTAGTGATGGTTGTTCATCATTATTTGTTTCGACAGAAGGTTCTAGTGATGGCTGTTCATCATTATCTACTCTCTCCACTGTACTTGCCTTTAAATTTTCATTTGATACGGATGAAATACTTGATCGACTATTGACTTCTTCATTAGCTATTAAGACAAAAATTAATAAATAATATTTTTCTTTTTTATTTATATTTACCATTAAACGTTGAATGCATTTCTTGTTCAATAAAATTCCAATGTTTTTCCGCATCTTTTATATCAATTAGCCGTGTAAAACCTATTGATTGTTGATTTTGTGGTCGAAATCGATTGATATTTTTTGTTCGTAATAAACGAAGCATTGTTGCTTCTAATTTATCCATTGATGTAGAATTTGGATAAAGAATACTACATAGAGATTTTATTGAAACACATTCACGTTGAGAACTTGATCCAAGCCCAGAACATATATATGCCGTTACTGGATGACCATGAAATTGAATTGTTTTATGAAAACGATTACTAGAGGATGTTAATGGTAATTGTGATGTACTATTTGATTGTGGTTGAGTCGTTGCAGGAGATGGTGGAGATGGAGGCGGTGTTGATTCAGCAATCTATAATACAGAAAATATATATTCATTTTAGTGATCATTTCAATATACGCAGGATGTATGAAATTACTTTTCGAATAATGTCTAATGAAAAGAAATTATCGACTTGCGTATTTTGGCAATAGAAATCATATTCGAAATCTTGCCGAATGAAGCGCCTTCAATATGTACAAGTCCTACTTTATTAACATTCACTTTTGAAAAAGTTTGAATCCATTTCTGAAACGGTTTAAAATCAACTAGTACGAAATATCCCAGAATAAATTTTTTAGACTTAACTTCCTATTAGAGATGTGTGAGGTTACCCTACCTTGCAGAGTATGATAGGGTCAGCATGTTGTAGGATAGCCTAGAGGAAGAGTAGAGGTTTTCCGAAGTTCGTCAAATGCAGAAGTTTTCCAGTGCAGGATACGACAAAGGTGGAGATTTTTCAGAGTAAAGTGAAGTAAAGGTACAGGTGTTCTAGAGTAGGGTAAAGACAGGTGTTTTCCAAAGTGGGGTAAGAACAGATGTTTTCCAAAGTGGGGTAATGATAGTGGTTTTCCAAAAGTGGAATAATGCAAGGGTGAAGGCATTTCAGAATAGCCCAGGGGTAAAGATTTTTCAAGGTAAGCTAAGGTAAGGCAAAGGTGAAAGCTTTTCAGAGTAGGGCACGAGCAAAGATTTTCCGGGCTAACTTAGAGAAACCATAGAGGCTTTCCAGGGTACAGTAGGGCTAAGATGGAAGTTTTTCAGAGTAGAGTTCGGTGAAGATGAAGGTTTTTCAGGTGAAGGTAAGGCAAGGATAGAGGTTTTTCAAGGTAGGGCGAGAGTAAAGATTTTCCAGGGCTGACGTAGGGCAACGATAGAGGCTTTTCAAGGGTACAACTAGGCACAGGCGGAAGTTTTCCATAGTAGGGTACGGCGAGGATGAAAGTTTTTTAGGTTAAGGTAGGGCAAGAGTAGAGATTTTCCAGAATAGGATAAGGCTTAGAAAACTTTTCTCAGTCAGAGCATAGGATACGCAAAAAGCTTCCCCTGCACATCTTTTTATCATATCTTGGGTAGCTCTAGAATATTCTTAAACTATCGTTTTACTTCGTATCTCAGATAAAGAACAGCCTCAATTGTCGTGTGAACAGGATAAAGATGCACGAATACAAATACAATCTTTACTCTGGATAGAATATAACGTCCCCAAAGCAAAAATTTCAGATCATGTACTGGGGAAAAAACCTAGAATTTGTACTCTCATGTATTGACGTGTACTCACAAGTATGACAGTGCATGACAATACATCAGGATAGTTGTCAGTACATGAGTACGAATTCTGCAAAGTCTAGGGTTTTCCACCAGTGTATGACGATACATCACATAGTACATGATGACACAAGTTCCCAAATTCCATGTTGGAGGGGAGGGGCGGGGGAGGGGAAACCATGCCATTGCCAGAGTACAACTTGTACTTGTATTTGCGCAGCCCTTAAACATGGAGAGTTCAATCTTAACATTAAAAAGACTTAAATCGATACTAAAAGTACTGATGTTGTTCGTTCCAAGGTATGCATTGGCTTATAGATAATGATAATGAACTATTTCGTGGTTTTGTTACTGAAAGTCTTGCTAAGTATGAAATTATTGATGAAGATTTTCAAAACTGTTAGGGCAAGAACTGCAAGTTCAAAAATAATATCGAAAATACTGATACTTTCTATTAACACAACCCACAGATCGATAGTAAATTTTTCTTTTACGAGTTATTCAAAAAGCAATTAAATGCATTTAGTAGTTTGAATTTACCGTATTTGTTGTTGCTGTTGAATTTGCTGGTGCCATTGATCCTTCTGTTGCATTTGATCGATTACCTAGATATCATTTTTTAAAAATAGATTCTAAATAAAAAGATTCTTTTACCTTGTTGTTGATAATTGAGTACATTCAATGGAAATTTATCATTGAATAAAAGTATCAAATCTACATTATATTCTTTTTGCACAGATTCAATATCAATTAATTGTGCATTGCATAAATTAATTGACATATTACTAAAAAAGAGTATTAGTTGAAGAAATTCAAGTTCAGCAACTGTTGGTTTTGATAATGATGCTGTTGATAAACATTGTGATGATAAAATAAAATTTTTTAATAGATTATTTCCAATAAATGGTACAGTTTGTTCATGTAATGTTGCTATATTACGTAAACGACAAATTCCACCATTGATTTGCACAATTGATGACCATTCTTTACAAATCGATGCTTTTGGATCACTAATTGGTAATTCTTTAACAAAAAGTATATTTGCTGAACAATATTCATAAAATGTTGATAATTGTATAAGTTTTGTATCAACAGCAAATGGTTTTATATGTTGTTTTATACAAAGATCATTAATTAATTCAATTTCTTGTGATGTTATAAGTGTTTGTCCATATGGTGTTAAAGAATCTTTTGAATCAATTGTTTCTGGTTTTGAATTTTTAAGTAGATCATAAAATGTTAAAAGACTAACAGGAATTTTATATAAATGATGATTTGTTGCACTTAATGATACATATGGTGTATAAAGTTTATTTATTTGTAACCAACCACAATGAAGAGAAGATACTTTTGATGATATAGTTGTTGTTGATGATGATGATGATGATACAGATGATTTTCGATTAGTTTTTATTGCAGATGAAAGTACAAGAGGAGACGATGTAGCAGGAGTATCAATAGTTGATGATGGTACAATTGGAGATGAAGAAGATGAAGGACTGCTAGCTGATGATGTCATTGATACAGGAGTTACACTTGGAACGGTTTGAGTATTGTTTGAAGGCGCTAGATTATTATTTCAAAAATCGTATATTAAAAGCAATCGAATAAGTCAACCAATTCTTCGTCATAAACTATAAGTATTTTAAATTTTCTGCTCTCATATTTTGATTTTCCTATGAAGTTCTATTACATACTTGGAACCGGTCGAGATATTTTTAACCTATCCGATTACAAGTATATTATATGATATAAAATCCTTCAACATGTTTTATCTATTCCTTTCGTTAGTACAGAAATTCATAGGCATTTCTATTTGCGTCGTGCGGGCGATGAAAAATGTCAAAATTATATATATAATTTATCTTCTTTCCATTCACATCTTATATTAGAACTTTCATGAGATTATATGTTTTGATAGTTTTACTTTCAATATTAGCTTCAAAAATCACTACTACGTCACACGCTTCAACAATTATTAGCGATCGGGTTTCATAACAATTATTCAATAATTTACTCTTCTATCAATATAGATCTCGATAATTGTAACTATAAAACTGAAGTCTATGATAGAACTAATGTGAACGAAATTGAATTCTATAGCGAGAAAATTCAACTCCTCTAAAGTTCACTCTAACATCCTTAAAGATGATATAACAATCTAGAAGATTAGAATACAAAATTTCTTGTACGTGCAAGAATATGTTCATCATATATACATAGGCTAAAAAAATTTAATTTTCAAAAAAATATTCTATTCATTTGATTCTGTCATCCATCCAATATCGTGTTGACTATGTTATGACATACCACTTAGTTTCGTAGTTAGTATTTATGGGGTACTGAAAAATTTTGCGTTAGGCTGGTCTTCTATACAGAGCTACCATTAGTATTAGTTATATGGAAGATATCGAACTATTGAATCTGTCTTTCGACAGCACTCGATACCGCAAAGTAGGAGTATCTTGTTTATATTCTTTATTATGATACTATGAATACTTCGAATAGTTGTAATATATTTTCAATTATGTACCTGTACTTATGAAGTTTGTGGTATTGTTTGGCAAAGATATTATTGGTGGTTGTTGTTGAAAAGTTGAATATTGTGATGGTCGTATTGGCAGTACAACAGCATAAGGATTTCCAATCGATTTTGATGGTCTTGTAGGACGTGGTACATTAAGTGGTGGTATTATAGGTCGTGAAGTTATTGAAGTATTTTCACGAGAAAAGTCTGTTGATGGACGAAATGGTTGTATCTGAATGGGTGGATCTTGTGGTATAGTTGACTGTCCACGTATAATTATTGGCATCGTAGACATATAATTGGATGATCGTTGTACAGTTTGTTGTGGTTGTGGTAATAATTGACGTAATGCATGTGTTGTATTATTTGATAGAACAGAAGGAGATTTATGATTATAACGAAGATGTTCATAAAATGGAAGAAAATCCGAAACACGGACTAATTCATCGAGTGCATTAAATGGTTGTCGAGAATATGTCCAACGTGAATGTTGACTATTAATTCTATTTAATAGTTCCACTTCAGCTGCAGTTACAGAAAATACATCAATTGATTTTCTATATTGATATTGATATGTACGACGAATAACATCTTCAGGATATTCTGGTAATATTTTACGAAGCATCCGAACACAAAAATGTTTTTTATCACCACTGAAAATACAAAAAATATTATTTATATATATATGTTTATATAAAGGTGTATTTTAAAAGATTTCAATATTAGCAATGTTTGATCCGAATATTCAGTAATGATTACTAAAGCATTAATCATATGCATTCTAATACAAATAATTGTAATCGTTTTTTCTCATATTATTCAATGGGCTGCTGAGTAAATTATAAAAAATTATGTTATTACTAATATTATTAGTTTTGGACGAAAATAAATTATTCTAATTTTCTATTCAACACCATATAAGTGCATTTCAAAATTAAATTTTACAGATTATTCACTTTGTTGCATTTGTCATCATAATCTTTCATCAAATCAACAAGTAGATAGGGAGAAAAAGAACTTAACTACATCAGTAAGTAAACATCCGCCAAATTATTGTCATTGCATCATTAAGATAAATATTCAAGCATAGGTTTAACAGACTGGTATACATTGAAGAAGTAAAAATAGATTTTAGTAATACAATTTTACGCGTAATTCATATCGAATACAAACAAAGAACTTCCTTTATTACTTGCAGACTTTTATAAAAAATAAGTGAACTAATGTTTATTCTGTTTTTTTAAGTTCGTTTCATTCATATACATAATATTTTATATTACAGAGCTTTAAATAATAAGATGAAACTATTTATCTTGCTTTCTATTGCAAGTAATTTTAAACTCTAAAAAACTTTATTTATTATTTACATACCGAAAAATCACAGGCATATAAGCATCACTTTGTGATAATTTTTCCCATGCGAATTGACCTTTCAACGACGTTATATCAATTGCATTAGGATCAATGAGTCGTTGAGATAATACTCCTGATGTTGTTTGAAACATAGTAGGTGGTGGTGGTGGTGGAAACGATATAACAGGTGCACCTGATACAGCTCTTAAAGATTGATTAATATTTCTTGACTGTTCATGTTTGATCATTTTTAAATATGCTAATAAGAAGAGTTACATCGGTAAATAACTTCAATATATTCTAAATAAGTACCTGATCATTGAAGAAAATTAAATAATAAATCGTACAAGCAGTAATCGTTTTGACATGGAAGAAATAATAATCTAGAAAATAAATGAATATAAATTTATTACTAGATAATATGATACTAGCGACATGTATCGAAACAAATAAGTGGCTATTGTATACTATCGATGTGAGCTGACAATGCGAAAACGACGTATGTATTGTATGCATCCACAGTAAAGAAGTGAACGTCTTTTTATCCTACACGATACGAAAATAAAAGGAAAGAAAAGAAATAGGCGTATAACGATAAAGCTTTTATGAGAAAGAAAGCAAGAAATAAGAGCGAAAGCCAACCCACCTCAAAGAACCTATCAATCTTGTAGATAGAAATAGTAACGGGTAAAAAGGACATATAGGAAAGAGAAATAGATGCTAGATAAGCGAACGAAACAGTATTGGGTTAAACTAAGTATGCAAACAAACACTTCTCGTCAGTTCGTTAGTTTGAATGGGTAAACAAGTAAAGAGAATAGAAGGAAAAAAAGCACTTGAAGCAGTGTCAAATAGAAAGTACTTTTTCTCACACACGATGCAAATGGTGAATACGAACAAAGAACAAAATTCAGCCTATGTCTAAACAGATACACAATGAACAAGATTTTTAAATTCTTTTTTAAAACCTATATTCTTATTCTTTACATAAGTTATTTCTCTTGAATAAAATTGGAAAAAAAGGAAAAATATTGTTTTTTTATGCAATAGAGGTCGCCATTAGGAAAACATTGTTATTTTATGGCTTACTACTAGCGACACTATCAGAAAGCATTAAGCATTCAGCTTACCAATGATTTTAGTATGTATTACAGAGAAAGAAAACAATTATCATATGAATGGATTGTAACTGCTATAGACAAGATAAACAATGTTGAAGAAGACTTATAGAATTCTGTTTACACTTTGCAAGATACACTTAAGCTTACACCTAACAAACAGAAGATAAATTGGGTGTTGAAGAATAGCATATACGCACGAATTTCTTCTCCTTTCAACTTTGCTTGCAATCTTTTACAGCCTATAGTTGGGAAAAAGGATTCTGCTGCAGACACAGAGGAAGGATATTGCAGTTTCATATCGTTTAGCTCAGTATCAGAAACAAAAACAAAATATTAAATATCGAGATCTGAAATCGTTCTACAAAATTCTATTTTCATATTACTAAGTCCAATAAATTCTTTATTATTTGAAGGCAATCTCAAAAGTTTCTTATCATCAACTACAGTCATATTTATGAAGCTTTCTATAATACACATTGAGGAGTACAATCGATTGCCTACGTGTAATGACTTCAATCTCATCGTCTGATAACGTGTTATTCTATACCATTCATCACCTTATTAATGAAGCGAGAGATAAAAACGATTGAAAAGAACATAGCGAGAGATACCAACAAGTAAAAAGAACATAGCGAGAGATACAAACAAGTAAAAAGAACATAGCGAGAGATACAAACAAGTAAAAAGAACATAGCGAGAGTTGCAAGGGAGATAATGTAAACATGAGGAGAGAAAAGATAAACGATAAACTAATCAACGATACATAGTTGTGGAAGAATGACGGGAATGGCAAAAGACGACAAGTCCCACATACAACATCAACAATACATAATCTATCATACCAGGAATTCAGTAGTAGAAGATGATTCATTAAGAATAAGCAAGCAGCATCACATTATGAAACGTAGAAAATGGGATACTGCGTAAACAAATATACAAATCGTAGAGCATTGAATAGTTTTCATTGAGGGGGCAAAAGTGAACATTTTGTACTTCAGCGTATATCGAAGGTTTGTCCAAGCTATCCTTCTGTGAAGCTTCTTAAGTATTTCAAGTTTACTATCAAAGAATGTTACTAGCATATCGGTTTGAATTTATTTTATCTATATCTCTCCGTCAATAAAGCCCAAATACTTCATTGTGCTGCAAGATTTGAGTATCAGCGAAGTACGATGAAGTATGTGGAGCTTATTGACAGAGAGACTTGTATCAAATAAATTCAAACTAATATGCTCGTGGCACACGTTGATAGTAGGCCTGGAAAACGCCAAAGTATGGGTGAAGTAGTCTTCGCTTTCTCCTCTTGGATTTCGTACACTCAGCTGAGTATTTTCCCGCTCACTCTTCAATTCAAACCATTGACTAGAGTCTATTACTAAAATATGACTTTTCATCAGATAATTGAAGATATCGGTTAATACAGTATCTCTTCTTAGCTGCAAGCAATACAGGTTGTTTGGCTCAATAAATTTCATGCCTTATCCACGTTTATTGCACAGCTGTAGAAAGCATAGAGTAATGAGCTCTGAAAAATGATAAATCAGCTTAATAAATGCTGCAGCAAATTTTCATCAATCCTTTTAGAATACATGACACTTTCATTAAATCCTTCAAGAGTTTATTATACGTTTTGTTTTCATAAGTTATTGCACGGCTACAAAGATAATAAATCCTGTAAGGGTTTACTGTTTGTTTTTATAGGCGCTTGAAATGTTTATTATCTTTATAGCCGCACACGAATTTATTAGGATAATAAACCCTATTGTAAAGTTTATTATTCTCTGCTCTTCTTTGCAGTAAAAGATATGGGCTTTTTGCCTGGAAAATATTATTCCTAGTCGTATCAAAAACGGGTATCACACAGATCGGCAACAACTGTATTTCAAGAAAGTAGAAGAAGTCCTGAAACAGCCTTCTTTATTAGGCATTAAAATAACTAATTAATACTATAATATCAATGTTTTAGGCTTACTTTTTGTTTATTAATTTCATTGCGTTGTAGTATGACGCATTTCTTTTAAGCTAATTCAAATTTATGTGTGTTATGAGCTGATTTACTAATGTAAAGTATATATTTGTAGGCGACTTCTGCGTGACTTCATCTGTATAATTGAGTAATCTTGATGAAAGCATGCATATATTGACAAGGAAAAAAGAATTGATCAAACAGTAAATAAAGAAAAGCCATTAGATAAATCATGACGTCAAGAAATGTAAAGTAAAAGTAAGCAAAGATGCATTTAAGCCATGAGTATGGCTTACGATTAGCTAAGTCGATGCAAAGAGAAACGAGCTTACCTTACATTAGCCGACTAACATAAGAAAAACTTCACAATTAATTTCTCACCGTGTGCTAATGCAAATAGTGAGTGTAGAAGAAGATAGCAATGTGGATAAGAAATAAGAGCAAGATAAGAATGTGAAAGAAAATGATAAAACATTTTGTCTTTTGTTAAAAAAGGTTAGTCCTCGAACTTTTTATGACCTATAGTGGTGAACTTATAGCGAGCCGATGAGGAGACAAAAAATGAATGGATGTGAACTAATGGCAAACACGAGAGCGAACGCCATGTGTGATGCGTTCTTTTTTCTTTTGCTTGTAATCTCTCCTCTTATTCTTTCGTACGCCTACACACATTTTCTCCGTTAGCATATATAAGTGTGAACACAGCGGTCGTCCGCCAATACTCTTGTTTCTTTTACTATTTTCTTTTCTTCGCGAAGCATCTACGACCATTAAGCGAGCATGCAGTGTACAATTGATCATGAGAACTTTTTTATAGGCTGTATACGGTAACTAAGCAACTGCATGCTGATTCATCTATCGAGCGATTTTAGTCGAAAAAAAGTAATCAAATTACAACTAATACCATGCTCGATGTTAGAAAAAAAATCAAAAGAACTTTTCTTTGTAATTATATTTTGCGGATTCCTTTGACTGCAACGCCAAGGACAAATCACCTTAGATACCACTTCTGTTTCATTTGTTGTCAATCGGTAAGCATATCCTTCAAGTTTTTTTTCCATTAAAGCAAACTTTGATGCATTCATTTGCATACTTACAATGCCAATTGCGTTTCTCGTGCTTGAAAAAGCTCAATATTTGCTCTTGAAGTATTGTGCACACATTGAAGTTGATTGAATTTTGACAGTTGTCGATGCGAAACTTTGTACTTCTTCTATAACTCACAAAATCATGCATATGCAATGCTGATTTGAATACAGTCTTATTAATATATGCTAATAATCGATCATATGTGCATAACTGCCTTTGACGTTAGTCATTCTCATAAGCATACATGACAAGGACTCTTAAAGCTTCTAAGAGTTGTCAATGGTACAATGAATGAGCTCACACAAGCAACAGAAATATAGCAGCAATAATCATAGTAGTTGTGCTATTTTCTCAGTGCGTTTTCAGAGATGATCACAGGGCACAGTAATCCCGACCTGTCTTGATTAAAGGAAGAGCGGCAAAAACACTTTTAATTTGCTTCATTCTTTTGCAAGACCGAGCGGGAAGGATGTAAGAGCGTTTTGCAAACTTACATAGCAGATAAGCAGAGAGGAAGTCGCGACAGATTTCGGTCTAAATTTCTACCTCGAAAACTTCTTTAGACCTACTGGAAAGCTATCGTTTTAACTCAGCAATTTTGTCTTAGTGTAATGGTGTTTTCCTTTATTATGCATTCTTTTCTCCAATGATTCTAGATTGCCTACTGTCAATCTTATATTTTTTGAGAATGCTGCTAATACTTTTTCCATATGAATGGGCATGGCATAATCTTTATTCAAAATGAATTTGAATAAGAATGATATTCTCTAGAAAAAGGTGAAAACATTTTTCTCTTTGTACTCAAGAGGAAAACAAGAACGATAGTGTAATGACACAGTCGTGTGTGTGCTGCTCTTGAGAACAGAGCATATAGAAAAAAAGTTACTTTGCCGGCATCTTCTGTGTGTTCCCGAATACTCACAGCTATCGCTTGTATTTTCACATATCATTTGAAATGGTGATAGCTTACTTGACAATTATTTAGTATGCAAATACTTTCGTGAGAAGAAATAGTAAGGTATTTAAAATAATATTTGAGCGGTGCCAATATTATGCCCTTACATTTATGCTG